ACAAAATGACTATCTATGATTGCAGAAAAGTGTGTGTGTGTGTATTAACAGCTATTGAGGGAATGTGTTTTGCTTGACTATGCTTAATTGTTATGAGGAATTTGTTTTTCTTTTTCCTCAAATTTGGGGGGATGGATGGGAGGGAGAGACAATAGATTTCTGTTAATTAAAAGAATAAATTTTAATTTAAAAAATTTTTCAAGGAATTAGAGGGCAACCAGCCATTGGCTGGCAGAGGCCTAACTATGTTCCTGGTAATCTTTCAAGGACTAGCCTGAGGAGAGACATACAGTTTAAGTAAGAGAGATTCCAGCTCACATAGCATTTATGGTTTTCTTGTGGGGAAGGATGGGGGAAGGAGAAGGAAGACAGACTGCAATAATGCAATATAGCTAAGAGACAGCAGGGTATAATGGAAAGAGCTGTAGGGTTAGAATCAAAAGACCTAGGTTAGAAGTTTCTCCTTGAAATAAGGGCCCATCTTTTAAAAACCAATAATATCCTTCCAGTGTTGTAATGCTATGAGGACAGCACAGTCCTTAAAGAATTAAAAGGCAACAGAGGTATATGGTGGGTGCAAGTAGGCTTTGACACTTTACAAAGAATTCCCCCAAAGTAGCATAATAGATGTTATCAAAGAAATATATGAACAAAAATGATGGGCTGGCCATATGGTAAGAGAGAGGAAGAGTAATGTGACCCATGTTCTCCTTAGTTTCCTCAAGATTTCAAGGGAAAGCATGTTAGGTGGATCCCCTTTGATGAATTATGGGGAGACATGAACAAGGGCCAAAGGGGCTTGGAATGGGGTGTAAGTAGGGGGTGATCTGGATTGTTGAAGGGAAGAGCCAAGTCAATGAGATCACATTGGAGCACTGTCATATGATCACAAATAAGTATTAAAAAGATAGTACTTCAGTGAAAGATGTAATTATTACTGTCATTATTATTTTCCCTGACACTTGTACTACATGCTGCACATGAGAAAAGAGGGGAGTTGGAAGGAATAGGAAGAAAGAATGTGGTCCCCACTGCATGAAGATTCTTGCTATGAAATCCTACCCAAGCTGGACCGCCACCTGGGCTGGCATGGCTCCAATAAATCTCATCCAAACTGTGCATCTTTCTTCCCCCCGTTACCATGGGCGTCTGAGAAAAGAACAGTTCATCATAAAATTCTCCTTTGTTTATTTTCTACTGACTGCTCTGGGTCTGGGAAATCTGTAAGTGCCAATGAGTATGGCCTGGATTACCCATTGACACTACACCCTTACCACGTGCAGAGTGAAGACAGGAGAGTCAAAACAGCATGTACACTAATTCCAACCTCCTCACCTGGTGTTCCAAAAGTCTTAGTATAGTTTTAAGCTTTGATAACTGCACAAATAGAAATTCTGTATACTTAAAAAAAATCATTTGAAAGCTTGTTTAAATTTCCTTTGAACCTATTTAGTTTTGCATCTTTTAAATAATACGATTTTAATTTTAACAAGATGGGTACCTGATTATTATGCATTGTATGTGCAAGAGTTTCTGGATGATACTTTCTCAGACCAGTGGATTTGATATAGGGCAACCTTGGTCACCTGATCTCCCTCTATTAGACTTTTTCTTGTGGGGTCATATCAAAACTGTTTCTAGGCATCAAAACTGCACTCCTTGGATTATTGCAAGCCTAGGAATCCTTTCAGTCAATGATCAACAGCTGATGAAAGTTCTGCAAAGTTCAGAAATCAATTAGTGTAAGGTATAGCAAAAGATGGTGATTACGTTGAATTTTAATAAGAAACATCAATATTTTTAAATGTATATGATTAGCCTTTCAAATGCAGGTATTTTGGTAAGTTTTTAGCATTCATGCTTCTGAAGTTATTAAAGCTTAAAACTTCACTAAGACTTATGGGACACCATGCATGTATCTCAGAATTTTGTAGTTGGAACTTCAACAGTCATCGAGTCTAATCCATACTCAAAAAGGAATCCCCACCATAATATATCCAACAAGTGACCATCCAACCTCTGCTTGAAGACCTCCAATAAGAGGGAATCCTCTAGTTCCCAAGGCACCCTTTTCTACTTCTGTGGACTTTTCGTGACTCCATTTGGGGTTTTCTTGGCAAAGATATTAGACTGGTTTGCCATTTCCTTCTCTAGCTCATTTTATAGATAAGGAAACTGAGGCAAACAGGATTAAGTGACTTGCCCAAGGTCACACAGCTATTAAGTGTCTGTGGCCAGATGGAACCTCCAAAAGATCAGTCTTCCTGACTCCAGGCCCTGAGCTCCATCCACTTTGCCACCTAGCTGCCTCTTTTTCACTTTTATATATGTGTATATATCAACAAAACCAAAAGAAACACATAAAATCACAAGGAGATTTTTTAGCTAGCGCATCTTCATTAAGAACTTACTCTGTTAAATTGTTTGGTATAATAACTTCATTTGCATTGGTTTTGTATTTGATCAAAATATAAATGGTTAAATTTGACTGAGGATTTGATTAGATAATCTATGATCTGTTTGTAAGTTTCTTGACGATTTTTTCATAAATGTTGCATTTATGTTAATATTTAAGAAAAATCATTTTAAAAATTTGCTTCTGAATAAGAAGATATAAGAGAAAAACACTTTTAGTGACACCAAATTTATGTCATTTACTTAAAAAATGTCATTCTTTCACTGAGAATCTAATTGTGGCTATTACCATGCTCTAGTGGCTCTTTGTACTCTGATGTGGACCCTTCACTGTCACAGACTCCAAGGAAGACCTGGTGGTACTCTCTCTACACCTCACCTTTCATGTAGCTCAAGGACCCCTCCTCAGCCAACTGCCATTGGAACCTCAACACTCTCCTTTCCTTTCCCCCATCTGACCAACTGCCACTATGACCTTTCAATCCCACCTTCTGTCCTCCTAATCCTCCATGACTTTCAAAAGGTTTCAGGTAAGGCTACTAGGTACCTAGGTACTAGGTACTAGGTACAAACTCCCAACTCCATTAATCCCATCTATCTGACTTGTATATTATCTCCACCACCAGATGCTCCCAATGCCCTGCTACTTGAAATCCATTACTCATCCTCTCTGCCTCTTATGAGGGTGTCTGTCCCTCATCCTACTGTAAGGATGTCCTCGACCTTTAGTGAGTCTCCAAAAAACCCATGCTGATGATATCCCACAGTCCAATCTGTAGGATATCTCATAACCTACTGTGAGGATATTCAAAATCCTACTATGAGAGTGTTTCACAACCTACTGTGAAGGTATTCCAAGATATTCTGAGATATTTGGCATCATCTACTCCCAACCAAATCTCCCACTTCATCCATCTTGTCTCTCGAGGTTCATTTCTACACTTCCAACTTCCTGTTGGACAGTTTTATGTGGATGCTCATCATCATCTCATACTTGATCCAGACTCAATCATCTTTCCACCACCACCTTCTCTGCCTTTTAAATTTCCTAGAAACACAGAATCTTAAGAACTGAAAGGGACCTTGGAGATCATTTATTTAGTCCAGCCTGTAACCTCTTTCCACTGGGAAACTGGCCTTACTTCCTGTTCCAACCATCCCTCATCCCTAAATGTGCGCCCTCCTCACTTCCCAGGAATATGCCAGAACCAACTCAAACTGGCTTTTAAGAGCCAATTGTTAAATTTTCAGTGTGAGCATTTACACCTCAGAAATTGCTACCACTCAGGGTTTGATTTATTGTTTCGTTGGTAGTCTAGACTTGAGAAAGTGATAGAGAAAATGTGAATAATGCAGATTAAGTGTAAAAATGTGTGGTAAGTTTTTTGAGAGCTGATGATTAAACATTTACCAGCACACCCCTGCCTCCCTCTTAGAATCTCTGCCTTCCTTCAAAACTCAGCTTGTATGGTCCCTCCTTTGAGAAGTCTTTCCTGATGCCCTTAATTGTTAGTTCTTTCCTCCTCTTCCTGAAATTATATATAGATATATGTGTGTGTGTGTATATGTCTGTGTGTATGTGTGTGCTCATGCATGTGTATGCATACATATATATGCACACACCTGTATACATAAAACATGTATGTTTATGCATTTCCAAATTAGAACACAAACTCTGTGAGGATAGCAACTGTTTTTCATTTTGGTTTTTCTACGCCTAGCACCCACCACGGTGCCTTGCACATAGTAGGCACTTAAATAAATTGCATTGGATTGAACTAAGGCTTAAGTCACCCGTAGTGGCTAGCTAGCCTCTTTCTTCTCTCCAGATTCCCTCTTTCTCCTCCATGTCCTAGCCAAGACACAAGTTGTCTAGACCCTTTCCCACCTCTTCCAGGTACCCCTCCCCCAGCCCCCACTGCCCCTGGTCCCAGAGTCAACCCCCAGAACAGCTCTTGCTCCTGCTGCTGCCACTGCTGCTCTGACTCCCTATATGAGTGGCTGGCCCCAGGTTTCTCCCGCCCCAGCTCTGGCCCCGGCTCCATATGGCCCTGTCTGAGTGGCTGGCCCCCTGCCCGGCGGCAACTCCACATTTCTGTTTCACCCCCCTTTTTTTTTCTCCTTCCCGGCGTTAACAAGAAGCAGATGTGGAGCTGCTGGAAGGGGGGGGTGGTAGGCTGGACCTCCAGCCAGACTGGGGGGAGGGGAGGAAGAGAGGCAGGAGGCCAGGTCCCGCCCCACACAGCCACCCTCACTCAGAACCGCCACAGGGGCACAGCCTCATCATCCCAGAGGAACCAGTGAGCAAGGAATGGGGCAAAGAAGGTGGCAAGGAAATCCAGAAGAGTGGGGAGCAAGGAGAGGGCTGTGAGGGGGCCAGAGAAAGGGGCTTGAGGAGACAGACCCAAATAGGTAAAGAAGGACTGGGGGACTAGGTGCAAAAAGAACAGACTCTCTTCTGAAGAGGAGAGGAGAGCGGAAAGAAGAGAGGGAGGAACAGAAAGAGGAGGGGGGTAGGACCAGGATAGGGGAAGGATAAGGAGGGGGTGTGAGGCTCTGAAAAAACTTCTGGCAGGCAGGAAGCTGGGGTGGGGAAGGGGGGACAGGGGTGTTCTGTCCTTCTGGGTGGAGGTAGCTCTTTCCTGAGGAGCGTCAGGATCCCCCTGGGACTGAGGCAAAAGCAGCCAGCTGGGCTGGGATGTGCAGCTGAGGCCGGACACAGAGTGGAGCCTCCCCCAGCATGGCCCCCACCTCACTCTGGAGCTGTTGCCTCTGCTGCTTGCTGGCTGGGGCAGCCTGGTCTGCGAGCTACCCATCCCGGGGCTACAGCCTCTACACTGGGGCCCGATCTCTCAGTCCTGGGGGGCCACAGGCTCAGACTGTCCACCGCCCAGCTAGTCGCCACAGGTAAGAGGCCCCATTGACCCCCAGCCCCATACACTCCACAAGTCCTTTCCCCCCAACTTTTCCACCACCTTTTCCCCAGAGGAATGCAACTGAGACTTGGGTGAGGGGTGGGACAAAAACGACATATCCAGACCACCCCATGCCTTCATTGACCTTCACCCAGTCTTGCCTGCCATGTTTATAAAGTTTTGGGTTTAGAAATAAACCTGATGTTTTGCATGACTGCACATGTATAATCTATATCAAATTACTTCCTTCTCAAGAAGGGGAGGGGAGGGAGGGAGAGAATTTGGAACTCAAAAAATGAATGTTAAAAATTGTTTTTACAAGTTAATTGGAAAAAAATATTCAAAAATTTCACATTAGAAATAAACCTGACTGAATTGGTTACAGGCAACCCAGAGGTGATGGCTTTTCTGCTCTGGCACCACATCTGCTTCTGCCAGAGGCCCTACTTTGCTGGGACATCCTCACTCTCTAGCCTTTGGTTCCCCTAGCCCACCCACAGGCCCTGAGCAACAGGGGCTATACATGCTCTGAAAAAGACTACTCACTGCACGTAGTAGGGCAGGGAGGCTAGGACCAGAAAGAACAGCCTATACATTCATTTCTACCCTTTTGTTCCTTTTTAGCAACTCAATTACCAAACCCCCCACCCAATCTGTAACTGACCCTATTCTCCCTGCTACCCTTTGCCCTTCTGACCCTGATTCCATCCTGTCACAGATCAGAGATAGGGGGTCAAGAATGTGGGACTACTGAAAACTGGAAAGGTTTTGTGTGTGTGTGTGTGTGTGTGTGTGTGTGTGTGTGTGTGTGTGTGT